ATGTATGTATGTATGTATGTGTTGTGCAGTCATTCCGGGTGAGCCAAGCTTTAACCGAGGGAGCAGGACTGACCCCTACTGGGCCCGTTATGCTTTATTGCAATTAGTCGCTGTTATGTGTATATATATGTACACTTATAGCAGATACATGAACCAATGAATGAGTCGATGGAAGTGTTTACACTGTACACACCGATCGTTTATGTACATGCATTGCATGTCTCTCTCTCTCTCTATATANNTATGTATGTATGTATGTATGGCTGCATGCATATGTATACACATGCGTACATACATATATGCAGGCAGGCAGGTAGGCAGACAGACAGACAGATAATCATGCATGATGCATACATAATACACACGTGCATGCTTGCCTGTGTACATACATTGATGCATACAGACAAACATGTGAACATGCACGTGTATATGTGTGTGCGTGTATATACACACACATACGGAATAGGTGTATGTGTGTATGTGTACACATAAGAGGTTTGTGCTTCTGCATAGATGTTATACTAGAGCAGGCTGTAACAGGGTTGTGCGAGTTGTGTCGCACGGGTGGGTCGGGTTCGGGCTCGAGGATATGTGCTACATGTTGTTCCAACAGACGTCTGGGGCATGATAGGTTGGTTTAGTCTTGCCTCTAAGCTTGACGTCTCCTGAATGAATACATTTATTTAACTCGCTGTTTCCAATTCGCACACTTTTGAGGTTAAACTCTGACGAAATCTCAACCCCTCGATCCCTCCCGAAGGACTGGGAAGGTAAGGCTATCTTTCAAGCTGCGACATGACTTGCCGGCCTTGCCAATGAAGCTCTGAAGCTGCGCCTGGCAGCGCCGAACGAAGTCTTACAGTAGCCATAGCTGTTTCCAAGTGTCAGCGACGCCGTTCTGGCATGTGCGTGAAGCCATTCACCCTCACCTTTCGTCGTTCAAAGTTGGGCCAGCGTTTACGGTTTAGAGGGTTTAGAACTAAGGGTTAAGGGTTTAGAATTTAGAGTGTTTCAGGTTAAAAGGGTTTAGGGTTTGAGTTTAGAGGGTTGAGGCCATGGAGGGTCTCTTCGCAGCAGTGTGCAAGAAGCGCAAGCGCCCTTCGGGCTGCGAGGGTGCTCCGAGCAACGCGCGTCGGGAGCATCCCGCTAAGACTGGCATCGAGGCCTCGCCGGTTCTACGTCTGAATGTCGGGGGCAAGGAATATGTGACATCTCTGAGCACTCTTCGAAGAGTAGACTCCGGCATGCTGGCGAAGATGTTTGGGAGCAATCTGCCTTCCGCCACCATCGGCGGGGCTTACTTTATCGACCGTGATGGGGATCTCTTTCGCTTCGTCCTCTCCTACTTGCGAGATGGAGCCGTGGAGCTTCCCAGCTCCTTCCAGGAGCTGCGCCGCTTAGAAAGGGAAGCCAGCTTCTTTCTGCTTCCGGGCATGCTGCAGCTGATTCGCTCGAAGATGTCAGAGGTGCACCTGGAAGTGAGGCTTTTTGCAGAGCCCTTTGGTTGCACCGCGGAGCAGTGTAATTGCGGGGACATCCCGACGCGTTCAGCTATGTCGAGCTGGAACAAATGGATTTTGCCAACGATGACTATCTTAATCACCCTGTGCCACAAAAGAGACCGGAATTCAAGTCTCCATTTGCAGTCGAGCATGTTTGCCTGCATGCTGTCGTGCCTCGAGAATCCAGTGACCGGTACGTGCGTGTAGAAACATTCGGGATATCGACGTCACTTGAGCCGAAATGCGGTGGTGACTATTTCTTGCAGGGTTCCCTCAATGAGCGACCTTTGTACCAGAACGAGGCGGGGGCCGTGATGTTCTGGAGTGATGGATGCTGGAGAATCAACGCTGATGGGAGCACCGGATCCTGGCTGTTGTCTCCGTTGCAGGATTCTGATTCAGAAAAGCCCCCAACAGGCCTATGGTGGGGCCCAGGGGCAGGAATGTGTTCCGTGGATGGCGAAGAAGTCCGTCAGGTGGAAAAGTCCAGCTTGATGCAGGCACTAAAGGCTGTGAGGCAAGGATTACTGGAAAGAGAAGGTAGAGAAGGTGTTGTCATATCTGCCGACGACATCGATGAAATTCTGCAATCGCTGCAACAAATCTTTTCAGCCTTTGTTCGGCAATCCGAGCTTTCCAGCAGGATTCTGTATGCACGGGCAGGAAAGTACGATGTTGGAGACCATTACGACAAAAAAGATCAACGCACGCATTTTGCAACAGGTGTGAAGATCGAGTGCCGAGCACTGCAGTCCTCGCGGTGCACAGGCCCAGCTTCTTCCTCGCCCAGATAGGGGAAACCTCATGTTTCGAGGAGCGGCGCGCAGCCTGTAAGACAAAGGCAGGATCTGCATGGCGCAAGGTCTGTGGGGTCGTTCATGATGACGGTGAAGGCCTCACCGCTCGTTGTCATCGTCGATGACGCCATAATCACCATCATCGTCATCGTCTTCATCGTCGTTATCGTCATCATATGGTCTTCCTCATCGTCGTCGTCGTCGTCGTCGTCATCACCGTCGTTATCGTTATCATCATCATCATCATCATTCAGCATCATCATCGTCATCATCATTATCATCATTATCATCATCATTATTATTATTATCATCATCATCATCACCATCGTCATCATCTTAATGATAGAGTCACCGCCATCGTCACAGCCGTCGTCATGACGATGCTTGCCTTCGACAGCTCTTGCTGCTGTTGGTGGTAAGCATTTCCGCAGAGGCTGACGCACTTGTAGAGACACTCAATGCCCTGTCTTGTTGCGGTCTTGCATGCAAGCTTGCATCCCCATTCGTTCGCTGTACATAGACATGTCTACAAGACTTCTAGATAATGTGCTCTAAAACCCGAGCCCCCGGCGTCCATGCCCCTAATCGTCGCTTCTGCACTAGACTTGTGCCGTTGTGGTCGTGGTTCCGGGCACCTGGGACTCGTGCGTGCTATGAAAACAATACACGCAATTATACTGTTTCAGGGTGCACCCTTTCTTGTCGAACTCTAGGGCGTGAAAGCTGTTGCGAACTTCTGAGGTGGTGGTCAGGTCGTGATGGCCGGGGCCGTCAGATCGGGTGATGATGGTTTTAAAGGCTTCAAGGTTTCGGGCCCGGGTGGAAGCAGGGTCGGGCTGCGTTGTGAAGCAGCGAGTTTGACTGCACTACCTCTTTCTTGGTCTGCTGTTGAACTGGGATTTGACAACGAAGGCTTTCGAGGCAAGCCATCGCTGCTATGCCACATTGAAGACGCCCTGCATCTCCGACGCCGCGCGTACCCAAGAGGCCCCGGCGGTGCAGCGCGCGCCCGATGCCAGAACGGGCGCGGCTGCCAGGAAGATCGCGTTTCTTTTTGTATGAGCTTGGAGAGTTTTGTTTCCGCCGATGCCATGTTCAGGCTCTGGGTGCAGGCCGGGGGTCTAGGGCGTTTACGATCTGCTGGGTCTAAGGTGCCTGTGGGAGCTTGCTGGTGGTTATTGCGCCATTGCTAGCTCTCGGTCGTTGGGCTGGGATTTCCAAGTCAGAAGGAACCGCGAAGGCAGCAGAGAAGCATGCATAGATGCATTCATGGCAAGTGCACGGTTTTGTTGAGGGCTTAGGGTTTGGGTGTCGACCCCCCGAAGTTTTGGGGAAGTCCTGCCCGGAAGCTTTAAAGCTCGCAAGCCCGAATGTCAAAGCATCCGATTCTCGAAGATCCCCACAATAATATATACTATTTTGGGAGGTCCTTATGATAGTTATAGTACAGGTATCATACACCCCAAAACCCCTATTCTAATCATTACGGCCCCTACATTAAGGATCTTTGAGCCCTAAACCCTAAACCCTAAATTTAAACCCAAACCCTAAACCCTAAACCCTTAAACCCTAACCTTAAACCCTAACCCACGATATCCCCCCGTCGGCGCCGAGGGAACGTGGTGCCGATGCCCACGGCGCGGGCTTCCTTCGTCGTGACGCCAGCGCAGGCGCAGGTGCAGGAACGGGTTTAGGGGGTCTAGCATTTAAGGTTTAGGGGGTTTAGGGTTTAGGGCTTGGGGGGTTTAGGGGGCTTAGGGGGTTTAGGGTTTAGGGTTTAGGGGGTTTAGGGTTTATGGTTTCGGGGGTTTAGGGTTTAGGGGGGTTGGGAGATTCTGTAAGCTAGGGTCCCTTTTCGGGTTACTATATTTGGGATCTAGAAAAGGACCCTGGTTTGGGGTCCCGGGTTTCAAGACAGGGTTTAGGGTTCATTGAGCTTCGCGTTCAGGCAGGCGGCTTCGGGTTGGGGTCAGAAATTTGAACCCGAGTGGTCGCGGGAAGAACTGTACAATGGCTGTTCATGATGCTTTCGTGTTTTCGTGATGGGACTTAGCGACAGCTCCGTGATCACTGAGCTGTTCCCGGTCCTCGTTTCTGGTGCATGACACCACATGAACTGGCAATCCTGCCTAGTAGAGCCCTTGAGCATAGACCATCTCTGCACAGAGGTACCAGTGGCCCGCGCGGTGTCGGGTATGACTGCACCCGCGAGGGCGGAGGCAGGGTGTAGAGATTTTGGGCTATTGGGCTTGGATGGGGTTGGGCTACGTTGAGTGTTAAGGGTCGAAGGTTGAACAGATTCCACGAGCTCCACAGGGCCAATTTTTTTTTGTGGTGTGGCCATCGCTCTGCTTTCATGTTTTGCATTCCGTCTCGCTTTTCTCTTTGTACGAATGCCCGATTTCAAGCTCTTCCTGTTTCGGTAAGATATTCCTGCAGATCCTCTCCGCCTTCTGCTGGGAGCCAGATGTGAGAATTGGACCGCTTCACACGGCAATTCAGTTCGAGAGGATGCGCAGTATTACTCAGACTCCCTTAGAGCTCCTAGAAATCCAAGTCGAACTTCATAAACTGAAATCTCTGCAATCAACCATCTAAAACTAAAGCCATATCTTGAGGCCCATGCAAGCGGCCAATGAGCTGTCTTCTCTTCATGTGCTGGTGTCCTTGGTTTTGTCGTTGTTTTAGGGTTTAGTGCTCAGGACAGAGACAGAGACTGAGACAGAGAGAGAGAGCGAGAGAGAGAGAGAGAGAGAAGTAATCCCGCAGTGAACGAAGTCTGTAGCCGGGGCTTGATGTTATTCTGCTTTTCAACAATGGGGGGAATGCTGCCAAGTAGCCAAGGAATGGTTTAACAAACAGCTTTGGGCCCACCTTTAGCATGCTGCATTCCTTACGCTCTGATGCTTCCTCTTCAGGTTTCCCAGAGTCGGGGCCGTAAGCCGTTCAATCCACTCCAAAGGGGGGGTGCGCTCTGAGTGCCCGTCGGGGGGAGGGGCAACCCTCTCCTCAGGCCCGCAGAAACAAAGGAAGAACGAGAGGGAGAGAGAGAGAGAGGGAGAGAGAGGGAGTGCGAGAGAGAGACAGGGATATGCGTCCTGCTGTGCCACAAAGCCCTTCCACTTGCACGCCGCAGGGACAAACCGCTGTCAGTGACATTCTCAGCTTGCATCCCGTCAATGGGGCTCAGGCTTCGGAAACAGACGGCTTTCAGGGAGTGCGCGCTAGGGGCTTGCAGGGCTTTGCTGCAGCTTCTGGGTCGGATTGCAGCTCGTAGTTTTCAAGTTTTTGTTGTGTCTCGAGGTTGGACATTGAAGGGACTCCGGTCAACTATGGTATTCGTAGGACGGAGTGTATCGTGTTTCACATGTGTACCATGACATATGATACGGTTTGTGACCCCTGAATCTCTGAATGGAGCTTTGGACGTGGATGTTTGACTTAGACCAGGCCTTCTGGTCGGGGCGTTCGGGTTTAGACTGCTCTAGGAGTTGTCCTTTACAGAGCTGAGACTTCGGAACTGCGGGAGCAAAGCCCTGAGCCTCGGCCGACTGGAGCGTCAAGCCCGAGGCTCCATGAACTCCGAGGCCCGAAGCCTCAGCTAGAAATCTGAGCCCAGACCCTAAACCCTAAATCCTAAACCCTAAATCCCAAACCCTACACCCTAAACCCTATACCCTAAACACTAAGCCCTACACCCTAAGCCCTATACCCTAAACCCTAAACCCTAAACCCTAAACCTAAAAAGAGTCTGAAGTCTCTGCACCCCGGGGTCGCTTGCCCTCTGCGGCCTCCCGGCCCGGCTGGGTCTTCCGGCTTTTGGCGCCCAACACGGGGAGCCCCTTTTGGGGTTTAGAGGGTTTAGAGGGTTTAGTGGGTTTAGAGGGTTTATAGGGTTTATAGGGTTTGTAGAGTTTAGGGTTTAGGGTTTAGGCTACACCCCGAGAAGCCAAGTCCCCACGAGCCCAAGCCCCAGAGTCGTCCGTCGGATCCCAGCACGCTGAGGTGCAGGTCACGTTGTCTCGGTGTGGCCCCGAGCTTCTGACATGGGCGACGAATGTTGCAAGGTCTAGTAGAATGGAATCAAAGCGGCTACAAAAAGGACTGACCCATCCATTACCGCTTCTGCAGCTGCTGCTACTGCAACTGCTGCTGCACTGGTGCTGCGGCGGTTGCTACTACCACCACCACCACCACCACGACTACTACTACTACTGCTGCTGCTGCTGCTGCTGCTGCTGCTGCTACTGCGACGACGACGACGACGACTACTACTACTACTACTTCTGCTGCGACTACGGCAGCGACTCCAACTACGACTACGACAGCGACTCCGACTACGACTCGACTGCCACTACGACTACCACTACCGCTGCCACTACTGCTGCCACTACCATTATCACTACTATT